CGTAACGGAGCGATCACTGAAATTTCAGGACGATAAAATATTTTAATAAATTAGGAACAAATCACAATTACGCACCTTCATCCAGCTCTTAAAATATTTATAATACGTAAAAAACAACATATACTTTAAAAGTTGGACACTGTAAACACACACTACACTGTATACTTCTTGACAAATTATAAAAACGCATACGCATCAGTTAGTTTTTATGCCCGTGCTATAGATGGAGTCGGTCTTTACAGCTTGCACCAAGTGACTTAGTCGATGAATGATCCTGCGTCTTCTAGGCTTCTTCTCTGGAACAATATCGCGTCTTGCCAAAAAAATTCTAATTTCTTATTAAAAATATTTTGAAAAGATTTTCAAAAATATTTTCTATCATAATTGATCACTGTTAAACATTTTTGAATTTATGCCTAATCAACAACTTCAATTGTTCTTTGCTAACTACATGCAAAATTTTATGTACAAGCGCACGTACTTCTCTCATGCTTTTCACATGTTTTTCGGACAGCTATTGTTGATTCCAAAAGCATCAAAGATAATTATAAATAGATTGTCAACAAACATCAACAAGATTTAGGTTACTTGTGTCGAGGTTTATTCAAAATTCCGTATAAACACTTTCTCTTAAAATTAAACGTATTTGTACTATAATAAATACTACATTCTTTAAAGACTTTTTAAATAGAAAGCAATTTAAAAATTGCGTAAGTCATAATCCGAACATTCTGGAAGTCTTACTCATCAATATCACTATTGTTGAAAATAAAATATATAAATTATGTAGAGACTTAGATATGTAAAGATATAATACATTGAAATTTCAAGATTGTAACACAAACAGTAGGAAATTAGATGAAATGAGTAGTCTTAGGGTGTTCATTTGATATTTTTATAGGATTCATAGACTTCATAATACCTTGTATTAGGTATATATGGTCTATGACATAAAGCCATAAATATTATATATATAAACGTAATAATTTTATTGGTTTATATCATCAAATATTGATCTTAACAATAAGTTAAGACAACAATACAATCAAACAATAGGTTGATCCGCATTTTGTAAAACCAAAACACAAACACCATAGATGAAAGAAGAGTATACTAAGACAATCACTATTAATATAATTTTTAAATCACTTACTTGCATGTAGAATTACATGAAACATTGCTTTTTATGCATATATACATAATACCTTAAATTTATTTCTTATCTATATGAATACAGACCCATATAACCAAACATTTTTTTCTATTATGCCAAAATTACCTGTGATTTTAGAGTGTAACCCACTTCGCAGATGAACCTAATGATTTTTCATTGAAATTTGTATGTTCATTTTATTCTGTTTAGAAAATAGATCAACTGAAACAACTCATAAAATCCTATCCATTAATAAATGAAACTACCTGAGCCTATTATTAAAATATATTACCACCAGACATACAGATTTACATACAATTTCAAGTTTTTTTTAGCACCAACAATTTTCATAGTTCAAGTGAAATTTTTTTTTGAATTATATAATCCACAATGCAAGCAATTTCACAATATTTTACAACATATATTTAAAATTTTATATAAATATTATATAATTGGCTATTTATCCCAGAAGTCACACAATCATTCAAATAACTGTTCATTGTACATGTTCCACTCAAAGTTCTCAAGGCAATGTATAAGGCCATTAATTATATTCATTGGAGGGAGTTATACATCAGCTTTAACAAGCTTCTAATTTTTTTTACAAATTTAATTACATTAGATTTGATTATAAGCTCACTTGTGTTTTACATTCCTGGCACATTGATTAATACTCCAATCGTACAAAACAAAGTTATTTAAGAAACATATAATACATATTTAAAATAATTTAATATCAGATTTATTAATAAATCAAAATTTGTAAGCATTATCGCTCTAATAATTGATAATTGTTATATAAATCAATCTAAACTTTATGTACATTTTATTAGCTCAATAACTACCAGACCAGAGTCTAGGTCCGAGATAGTCTGATCACATAAGAAGTTTGTTATTATGGTGGTTCTATAGTTGAAATCATTACACATAAACTGGACCTTGATTGTCATTGTCATCAAGACTGATTTTGTTAGCATAACCTGGACCCCACCATCATCAAAAACGACGAAATGTAAATTCAAAGAAGCCATGAAATGGTTTCCCATTGTCCAAAACTTCATCAGATCTATTTGAGTCCGAACTTGAATTTCGGAGTTTTTCAGGATCCACAGGATCAAAATTAGATGTGTCTGTTGGATACTCTATTCGAGGTATATGAGGAGCTACTTGACGTCGCAAGCCTTTGTCAAAATCCACTTTCTTGAAAAAGGATGACTTTTCACTTCAGCAGCATCCTTTCCTAGGCGCTTCTCTGGTCCAGAGCAAAGCTTCAATATTAGGTCAGTACTTTCTCTAGACAAATTTGCAACTTTCGGAATATGGAGTGTTGTCTCCCAATTTATCACC